AAAGATAAGAGTAATTTTTTTAAATATTAAATGAGTTATAGGCACGTTAAAAATATTTATTTCAATTAAGAATGTGGTTACACATTTATTTTTTTAAGACATCAAAAGAAACTTAAGAATGCGGTGGCGCACCTTGCCCAAATTATTTTAATAACTAACTTTCATTAATTTATATCAAGAGGTGTAAACAAAGATTATTAGGTGTGACACACTCGAGAGAATAAAACAGTTATGCTTCGAAGCTATTAAATATCAAAATCAAGAATGCAATTACGCATTCAGGTTGAGACCAAATAAAAGTTCAACAATAAAAGTGTGAATAAGTCATGGTATGAAATAATATATCCAAAAATATTTTAAAGTAAGTATAAGTTAATAAAAACGATCATGCTAGAATCACGGGACTTGAGGGATGCCTAATATCTTCCCCTCGGTCAATATAATTTCTTACCTGAATTTCTAGTTCGTAGACCAAAATAAAGAGTCATTCCTTTTGATTAGGGATTAAAAAGAAAAAGGTGATTTGAAACATCATAACTCAATTCCAAATGTCAACTCTGAAAAAATAAAATAATTTGTAATCAATACGGTCACTTAAATTGAAAAAATACTCATTTTGCAGTTGAAAAAGGGGTGTGACATCTCGGATAAAAATCCTCGAAAAAAAAAGGGGCAATCATAACTTATTTAGATAGTGATTATTAATCTCACAACAAAATATTATGAACTTATGAGTGAAACAATAAATTAAGTGATATTATAATTTAATCCCGGAGCAAACAGCCTGTTAACCTTTTTAGGTAAACAAACCCACACAAAATAGAGCCCTTCTTGCCAGAAATCTACGACTGTATTTCAGCAAATGGAATGTTGGGTACCATTGTTTCAGATATTCTTGAATTCCCCTTGTCCAGAAACCGAAGCATCTCTCTGGTTACAACAATCTTTCAACCAGCCTGAGGCCACCGCCATTTCAACGACCTCCTTCCTCTCACTGCTCACCAGACCCACCGAGATCACCATTACCGGTTCTCCTTCTCCATCTCACACAAAACGGTAATATTGAATTCGCACTGCCTTATCTTTACTTCATTTTACCTTAATAGCTTAAAATTGAGGTATACTTGTTAATTGAAATTGAACATGGATGAATTGTTAGTTACATGATGTAAAATTTGGAGTTATGCTTGATTGGCAGGGTTGTGTGGATACAGACTCTACCAAATGCTGTTCAAGCTCGCATTTTGTCATTTCTTCTTTATGATTGCCAGAGATTTTGTGAAACAGACTTGTGTCAGCTTGCGGAAACTATGTTGAAGGAAGGGAAAGAGCTTGATTTTTGGGTTAAGCGGGCTGCACATCAGCTGCTTGACGTTGTGTCTAGGTCAACTCATGAATGGTTGTCCTGCTTGAACTTGGATTCTGAAGAAGAACAAATGGAGGATGAGTTTAGGTCATTACCAGATTTCCTTAAGAAGGATGATGTCAATGACACTGATTTGATGCTTCCCTGGCTGCCTATATCACAGAAACAGTTCAACTTGGCAAGGCAATACAATAGTTGTGGTGAAAATGATGATCATATGACTGAATTTGAGGAGGATAAACGAGAAATTGTGGATGAAATCATTGAGGAGGTTGATGAAGAAGTGATTAAGGAGGTAGATGAATACTTGAACCCTCAAGTTGAGGAAATGGCTGAGCGTTTGAAAGACTCGTTGTTGTCTCTTCAGTCTACTGCTAAGGCTGTAGAATTGGCTGGGGAAATTCGGCAACTTTGTAAAGGAGGAGGTCAGTCTTTGGCTATTTTGGGTATCGTTGAACCTTGGAGAGCTGATGATGAGACAGCTGCAGTTTTGGTGTCCAATCTTCTAGATGGGAATGAAGATGAACTTGGTTGGCCCAGTCACGTTCTTTGCTCTGTTATTCTTCCCAAGCTGTTGGTTTTGAAAGAACCAGCTTCTCGTGTATTACTAACGGCAACGTTAGAGTACTCTAAGGTTCATCAGAGAGCTTCAGAGTATGCGCTGCTATTGCCGATGATACTTAGAATGGATGGCATAAATAGCCCTATTTGTGATGTAATAACAAGGATAGTTAGAGAATCTTTGCACCCAGGCCATGTTTCTTCCTTCTGCCAGAAACTTCTCAGTGACGAGGACAATCTGAAGAAATTTATCTGCCTTCCCTATCATCAATGCTTAATTGGCAATAAATTGGTATGGACAGAATCATTGTTCAATTTGATGCAAAATATCCTAAATCATAACATTCATTTGACTCAGGACTCAGTTGATAGACTCATTCAGCATGCTTGGGAATCTGCTCACAGGTTTTCAAAGTCTTTGAAATTTGGAAACTTTTTATTATGTTTTGTCACCAAATGTTCTCCTATGTTGAAGTCCCAAAAGACCTTACTCATAGAAGCCACTCAGCATACTAATACTCTGGTGACCAAATCTGTGTTGTCAAAATTGTCTAGTTTGTAAGAGGCTCTATACCTTGTAAACCAAAGAGCTTTGTAAATACATTATTGTTCTTTAACTCAGACCATCTTTTTGGACCTAGTTTCCGTAGGAAGCTACTATGACAATTTCAAACAGGTTTGCTGGGGAATTATCCTGATTCTTAATACAGATGGTGTTTCTTAATAGTTTTTACTGAATCAGAATGCTGTGTTTGTGAATTGTATTTCTTCCCTGAGGGCCAGTGACGCATGGTTCAAAAGTTGGTGAATAATGGGCTCACTGCTCGACTCTTTCTTTCTAAAATATCAGGATTTTATCTGCAGCAGGGTTCAAACCTGTGACATGCGCTGCTCCCACATTTCACCCTGTACTTCTTGATACTAAACCAAAGCTAATAGTAATTATCATGATATTAATACCCTTGTGTCATGCAATACAAGAGAAATGTTCTTTCTTGTATTGGGTTTGTGTGGATTAGAAAAACTGAGGATGGATGTTGAACAATTTGGGCAACATAAGGACATGTGAAAGTGTTTTAGAAACCCTTCATCTCTCTCTCTTCCATTCCCATTTTGTGTACCTTATTATATTTATTTGATAATGCGTTCCTTCAATTTATTTCAGGAAGGTTTGGGTGTACATCAGTCTAAACATAAGTAATTTAAAATAGGCAGAATGGTCTGATAGGCCCTTATATTTGGGTCGGATGGTAAACTTCCTTCTACTTGTGATTTTGTCAATTGAACACTTGAACTCAATGAAACACAATATTTTAAACCCTTTTCTCATTTGATCAGATATGTGTAATACAACCAAATACGCATGGAATCCGTGTCATTTTTTAATGACACAAATAATATTTTTTTTTAAAATGCTATTTTTTCTCTCATTGTACCTCCTTTCCCCATCCCCTTTCATTTTCTTCTGGTCACCCCCAATCCAAACCCACGCCCAACTCCCACCTTTTTCCATCTTCCTTACCTCAGAAACTTCCTTAAGCACAAAAATTCACCAACTGCCATAGCTTGAGACTTGGATGTTCTCATTTGGCAAATCTCTAAAAAAGATGAAATTCCTCCTCTTGACCCAATTGCTCTTGCATTATTTTTTGTAGAACCCACTGCTTGCAAAGCTATGCATGAATTTTCCTTCCCCAGAACACTCCCAAATTCAAGAACCCTTTGAAGATTGTTGAGAATACACAAACCTTCAGCGATCATAACATGTTTTCTTGAAGCAACCGTGGAGATTTTAGCAATGGCGGTTACAGTTTTCTCCTTGATCTCCAGCGAAGAGCTAGAATCGAGTAAACAGACCAGCACCGGAACAATTCCTTGAGCTACAACAATCAATACATTCTTGTCATCTTGCTGTAACAACCCAAGCAATAAGTCCAACACTGAGTTCTTCTACTCAGTCGTCCCGATCCGTCCCGATCTGAAGCTGAGTTATCAGATTCCTCGATTCAACCCGTATAGTCTTGTGATTTGAGCTTTCAGTTTTAGAGAGAAGTTTTCAATTTGAATCTTCAAACTAAAAGCTCAAATCATGTAACCCGTTTTTTATTCGAAGACAAAAGAATCAGCCCAGAGAAGCATTCAAACAAAAAATGGATTTAAAATTTATTTCTTTTTGATTTCAAATAACCCAGTTCTTATTTGAGCTTTCAATGAGAGAAATTTTCTTCTTCTTTCCAATTTGTATGTTTGTTGTGGGATGCTTGAAGAACAAGTAATTTCCTTTAAAATGGGGTGAGATTACAAAAAGAATAGTGGAAACCTATGGGTGGAGGCGACCTAAATTTTTTTTCTACAAGAAATGAGAAGAAGAAGGGGTATTACTACTTTTTCTTTTACATTTTTTTTCCTAATTATGTGTATTTTTAATGAAAAGCTATGTTGCTCGGACTCTTCATAAATGTCAGTGGGTGTGTGTCAGATTCTCCAAAAGTAGTGTATTTTTAGAGAATCCGACATAGATGCGGCATCTAAAGTGAAGAATCTGCACAACTTAGATGAAAAGTATCAATTCACGCTCTTAATCCGCATGTACATCACACATTTTTCCAACTCATCAATTTTATTGCCACATAAGTTTGATCAATGGTCAGAGGTGTTTAAAATATTGTGTTTCATTGAGTTTAAGTGTTCAGTTGACAAAGTCATAAGTAGAAGGGTCCACTTTACAATCCAACCCAAGTATAAGGACCTACCAGACCATTTCGCCTTTAAAATATAAGGAGTTGGCAATGGGTCTTCAGGGGGAATTTGTCTTTGACTCTGCATATGGTGCTGTCTCACTCTTATTAGATAATCATATTCAGACTATACATATTATTCTTCATTGAAGATTGTTATCCTCACAGCGAAAGGTAGTGGATAATCATCAATCAGCCAAGGGTAGTCATCAATCAGCCACTACCAAGACATGCTCTGTGGATCAGTTAGTTTTTCTTTTATAGCTACAAACCAAAACATTGATCAACTTATTTTTCTTTTTCTCTATAAGAGTCATTGGTCTATGTATAACAGCTTTTCAAAGCAATCCTAACTTTAACCTTAAAACTTTTAGTGCAATCTTACATGGTAAAGGAAGCTTATATACATCAGCTTCTCTTGTACTTCAACCCAAAGAATGCCCAAAATGAAAAAGAGAAAAAAGGGGAAAAGGTATCACTGAAATTATAAGTAACAGATACATAAACTTGGAAAGAATAATCCTTCTTTCTCAAGGTGAAGTCTTCAATGCCCATTGGCCAATGTTTTCGCAGACTCAAATCTAGGGCCTTTTTCAGCAAATTTGGTTTTGGAATAGAGATTCAGATAATCTTGAAAGCGGAGGTGACAGGGATATAAGAGCTTTGGCGCTGGAGAAATGATGGCCTCACCAGCAGGGTTGTAAAAGGTGGCAATGGAAAGTCTATTCCCATCCTTTTCAGCCATCACTCGGTGTCGAATACTCTTATACATCCCGTTGCTCAAAATTTCGATTTGATCACCGATGTTTACAAAAAGTCTGTTGTTCTTTGATGGTGGAATGTTCACCCAATGTCCATCTTTGAAGAATTCCAGACCCGGAACTTGTTCGTCTTGGAGTAAGAGAATGATACCACCAGCATCTGTGTGCTCGCGCAATCCCCTGACCAAATCAGGGCGAGGACATTGAGGATATATCGCTACTTTTGTTCCAACAGAAGGACCCTTGCTGCCTGAAAATGCTTCTTTGATGCAACTCTTCTCTAGGCCAAGGTTCTCACACATTAGTTCTGAAAGATTTTCTGCAAGTTCGATCAGCTGATCAATATAGTCATCTACTGCTTTGCTGCACGCAACATACTTCAAATGTGAAATTCAATAATAATGAAATATTCTTAGTGCAGGACATCGGTAAGTTGTACGTCTGTGCTCATTAATTCTAGCATATTTATTGAATTGTTGAAGCTTTATGCTGTGGTGTTGGTGACTTACCAAAGTTCCTTTGAGAGACCTTGAATCTCATAGATGTTGGAAGTTGGACGATGCCAAACAAAGAATGTGCTTTCCCAGTCTGTGTTGCTGATGTTTCCTTTCTTCTCTAAACTCATAGGTAGCTCTGATTCATAAAATCGCTTCTTCATGTTGGCTTCGTAGTGCTGATTCACGAGCTGCTTCACATTGTCCATCAAGTAAGTGTCAATTCCATGATTCTCTATCTGCATTAGTTTCTTATCAATATTAGCATCTTATCAAAAGTGCTTAGTACTACTTAAAAAACAGAATTATACATGCGTTCATTCATTACCATAAAAAAGCCCCATTTTTCACAAGCCTGATGGAGTAGTGACATGGTTGCACTTCTCTCCTCACCTTCAAGCTTACTGAAGTCGATAACCGGAATCTCCATCTTCTTCTGTTTTTTTTAAGTTCAGTATGAAGAAAAGGAAGGCAATTGCCGGACTATATATAGCCGTAGTAGTAGAATATTATTTACATGGTGGGACAATTTTATTTTTCTTTTTAAAAAAAAAGCAGTTAGATTTGAATATCAGGTAGTTGCAGTTGTAACTTAATTAATTACCTCTTTTGAAGGAGAAAGGATCGGAATAGTAGTGAGTCCAAATTCACTTCATATCAAGAGCCATGTGATTGGTTCTATTATTTTTTTGTTTTGACAAATCTATAGTCAATTTATGTCTTACAAAGAGGACATAAAAAACACCCCTAAATTTGGTGCGATTTATTAGTTTATCTCTGAATTATTAGTTTAGCTTTGATATGTAGGTAAGAATTTTCCTGATAGAATGCTTACATGTCACATAAAAGTTCATTGCATGCATGTGTTTTTCTCTTTTCTATTATCCTAATGAGTCAACTTGGACTTGTTTATGTTCTTTTGGTAACGTACGTTAGTTTGGTATTTCCTTATAAATTGCAATTCGTTGTTTTGAAGAAACCATGGGCAGTGGGTGATGGAAATATGAATAGTAATACTACATTCCAATGGGCGGTTGTGGTTTTAAAACTTATTCGATATGACTCATTCAAACTAGCTCTGTCTTAATCATTTCTTTTTAGAGATAGATCGAGGCCACTTACAACATTATTTTTAACCAAAATCCTAAGTGAAATTCATCTTTGTTATTTGTTATTTTTAGTGTTTACCAAATGGTTGTGTCATTGCTTACATGTATGTTGGGATGTAATGTTGACATACTTTCCTTGCCTATCTGTTCATTTGAAAATAGGAACGTCCTTGTTTTGTTTAAATCAGAAAAGATGGTTTTCTAGTCCTTCACAAACTGTTTTTCGCCTTTAAGTTGTTTTTACGAGAGATCTTCATTTTTACAATGAGAGATGTGAAAAGATTATTTTCTAAAATTCAATTTCTAAGAGGGCAAGAAATCTTATTTACTCACTACGTAAGGGGAAAATGAGAATGGTAAGATTAATTGTTTTCAAAGAGCAAGGACCCTTCGGGGTGGCCCAGTGGTTTGGGCTTGGGACTTCCATGTTGGAGGTCTCAAGTTCGAAACCCCTTGCCAGCGAAAGCAAGGGGTTTGTCTTCTGGGTTGAGCTCGTCACACCAGGCTTACCTGGTGTGAGTTACCTCTCCTATGTGGTTTGCGAGCTATTGCATATGAGCAGAGGTTTTACCCTGTGCGCACCCAAAGGGTAGCGGCTATGGTTTCCCTTGTCATAAAAAAAAAAAAAAGCAAGGTATTTTTCTTTAGATTTAAAAAAGAAAGTGTATCAAACAAAACATGAAATGAAGGTGTGGCAATTTCTTACTTGGCCACGAGCTATAATTTTCTATACATGTTCGGAATGATTAGTTGAACGAACGGTTCTTTAGCATTTCAAATGCCCTACACTCACACACCAGAGATATTATTAAATAGAAAAGGGTTATATTTGTCCTTATGCTCTTACAAGTCACAAATAAGTCATATATGCCCTTCATTATACTTTAAAAATATATTTGTCATTTTTGTTTAATTTTAAAATCATATTTATCTTTGTATTAAAAAAGAGTCATATTTATTCCTTCGATATTAAATCTTCATGTCCTTAATATATTTGCCTTTTTATTCAACTTTTGGATCATATTTATCCTTGTACTTTCAAAAAGGTCATATTTATGCTTACGAATTACGATGTTAAATTCGCATGTCCTTAACATATTTGTCCTCTTCGTTCAAATTAGGGGTTATATTTACTTTTATACTCTAATAATCATATTTATTTCTATTGCGTTAAATTCTCATGGCTCACTTTAATTTTCCTATGTGGATCCTCTTGGACATATTTTTCCCTTAATTAATTTACTAACTTATTTAAACTCTTTTAGCTAGCGTTTGTCCCCAAGTTTCCAAGTATTTTTGTCAAATAATACTTGAGTCAAGTTTTTTCCAAGTTAATAGCCTGTGTTTGGCCCCAAGTTTCCCAAAAATGTTTGACTCTTTCAAAAAAATATGATTTATACACATAAGTTTTAAAAACTATTAAAAATATCCATAAATTTGTATTATCTATTTATAATGAATATGTTCTGTTAAAAATAACCTTATAACATAATTGATAACAATCAACAACAACAAAATAATAATATATACAAGAGCAATACATTAATGCATATTCAAACTTGTCATTGATTCAGTTATAATTATAACAACCTCCGGAGGATATAATAACAAACTATTCTTTTAGATTTGACATCTATATGAATATTCCATCAACTTGTGGAATTTTCGAGATGCCCTTTAAGGGAATTTAGTACCATTTATATAGGCATGGACTAGAGTTTAGGGTTGAGTAGACTCCGAGAATTTTAATTGAATCTGAACACACCTTCTAGAGTCCCAATTCGAATTGAACACGTCTTGTAGTCCCACAAAATTTTAATGTCTACAACAATCTCCTCCCGACAAGCTTTTAGATGACTGAGAAGACGAAATAATATTGTTACTTTGAGTTGATTGTTCGTCATCTTCATCAGTAACCATATCATCACGTTCATGTTCATTAAATATTTCATCATTGCTTTGATTTTCACGCAAAAAATTATGTAATACAGCACAAGCAACTACTATTTTCACTTGCATGTCTAATTCATAGTTGTTCATGCCTTGTCACAGTATTCTGAATCTACTTTACCACGCACCAAATGTTCTTTCAATTACATTACGCAAAGAGGCATGTCCTTAGTTAAATAACTCTGTCATTCTTAGGCTCTCTTTCACTTCCCATGTAGTCCTACAAATGATGTCGCATTCCTTTGTATGGAGCTAGAAATCGTTTCGTGTTCCGAAGATCAGCATCAACAACATAATAGTTTTCTACAAAATTTTAAAAAACACAATTCAAATTATACTTTTGCTTTACTTTTTTTTATTATTTTCCTTCTTTCTAAAAGACTATCAAAAATGAAATTCATAATTTACATACCATAACCATGTGGTGGATAATTAGTTCGATTCGGTTATAATTACAATCTATTAAAAATATAAAAGTTTGAGGTAATTTTTGAATTTCTTAAAGTTTCCAAATATTTTTCAAGTTTCCAAAAACTAGTTTTTTCTAATATTTGAGAACTTGGGATTCTTGGCAAAAAATTCACTAAGTTATGTGGCCAAATGCCAACGATTAAATTTTTCCCATGTTTTTCCTAAATATTCCCAAATAGAACTTGGGGCCAACCGGGTCCTTACCACTAAAAAATTAAAACTCAACAATTTCATTGTTTATTTATGGCCGATATGATTTCACCAATCAAATCTTGTCAAAATTAAATCCAACTTCTTTTATTGTAATAGATAATTGTTGCTCCTACCCGTTTTATTTATTACATTGTTTTTCTAAATTAAAAAATTACAGTTATTCCAAATAAAAGATAATTATCTCAAATTAAAAAACGTCGATCAATACTACATTCTCTCTAGATTTTTGCTTACCAGAATACTCCCGATCATTCGATCACTATGTTTCTACATAGTTCCTTTTCAGCTGCAAGCCATTTGTGCAGCAGATTATATTTATTGAATCACATCCAAGTTTGTAATCGGGAAAATTATCATTTCATTAATTGATTCAAAGTTTATTTCCTATATATATATATATATATATATACTTGAATTTATCAATAGAAAATCATAGGAGAAAAAGTACAAAAATAAAATAAAATAAAATAATCCTATTGAGCACCTTTATCAGTTTACATGTAAATGGGCAAATAGATTTAATTGAAAAAAAAAACTCATAAATCACATAAGAAAATAAAGGTGGGACATGAGGATTTAACGTTATATGGGTAAATATGATCTTTTTCTAGAGTATAAGGATAGATATGACAAATTGTTTTGAAGAAACTGGACAATATATTAAGAAGACGAAGATTTAATGTCGTAAGGGTAAAATGACCCTAAAATTGAATGAAAAGAGCAAATATATTGAAAAAGTATATCAAAGAGCAAATGTGACTTATTTGTGATAGTGCAAGGCCAAATATAGGGATGGCAATAAAGCAGGACAAGGGTTTAACAGGGCAAGATAGGACACTACTTAAATGGGACGGGGTAGGACGGAGCGGGTCAAATCTAATATTTTTCAAACTTTAAAAGGGCAGGGATGAGTTGTGTTGGGCCATAAGGCCCATTATTTCAGTTGAGCTTTGGTTGATCCCAAAAGCAAAATGAAATAATGCGGATTTACATTATTAATTGGTGACATTTTTTTTTGTTCTCCTCTTTCATTTTCATATTTAATTGAAAATTTTATAAATGACAATTATTAGACTAATATTTTCAAGTTATAGCAGTAGAATATAACTTTCAAGTTGTAACAATAAAAAATTTCAGGTTATAACATTTTATTTAAAAAAAAAGAGTTTTTAAAATTAATTGTAAAAATCTGTTTTGAAAAAAATAAAAAGATCAAAAAGAAAAATAAATCGATTTTGAAGTAAAAAAAACCGGAAATAGGTGTATTAATTAATTTTGAATTGATTGATGATAATTGTTAATTAACATAAATTTAGGAGATTCAAACTAATTAGGAATATTTATCTTCCTTCATTCACTCTAATCTGTTAAAATTAATTTAAAACTCTGATTTTATCCATTTTCTTCAACGTTTCTCTCTCTTCATTTTTTTTTCCAGAATTATTGTCATTGACGAGTAAATCCAATTTTTTTTGTTTGAAAAATCTTCATTTTGTTGTGATGGAGGACTTCTTATCAGTATTAATTAAACATGGTGATAGATGGGATCCTTCAAGTTAGTATTCTTTATGATTTGTATTTGTATATTACTGAAATGTAAAAAAAAAGAAAGAGCAATGAAACTCTAAATCACATTTTGTGATTTTGTTTATGTATACTAGATTTAAGTTGTGATGTTTTTTGTATAAACCATCCATTTTGTTGATAATACGTACTAATTTTTGTGAAACTGTAGTTAATGACATTCTCTGATTTTGTTGGTACGTTTCTATTTTATTTTTTTTGTTGCTATTTTGTATACTTTCTATAACATGATTTCGTGCGAAATTGGCTTAATATATGAATGATTTGAATATAAATGTATCGAATATTAATAGTCTTATCGTTGTAAAGTTATGAAATTTGTGGAAAAAAAAGTATGAAATTTGTTGTAACATTGTTATGAAACTGTTATTTCTTTAGTCAATTTGACAATAATAATGAGATAGATTCGATATGCAGATTAAAATTATAATATGGATTATTGTTTTTTTTCCTGAAAATATAAATAAAATGTATATGTTGGAATGAATTTGGTACTGTAACTAGAATGATATTGATATGAAAATGTATTTACTATTTTGTAAAGAATATGAGTAAAAAGTATGATGATTTGTATGAAAAGTGTATTAAGTTGGTATGAAATGTTAAATGTTATTTTTTATATAATGTGTTTTATGGTGTGAATTCTGGTAGACTGATTGAAATGATATTGGTATGAATAATTAGCGGCATTTGTATATAAATTTGTGTGAGAAGAATGAAATTGGTATGAAAAATAATTCAGTATTGTGTAAAAAATATGAGTAAGAAGTATAATGATTTGTATGAAATGTGTATTATTTGGTATGAAATGTGAAATGTTATTTTTTTATGAAATGTGTTTTATGATATGAATTCTGGATACTGTTTGGAATGATATTTGTATGAATAAGTAATGACGATTGTGTATAATTTTGTGTGAGTAGAATGAAGTTTTGGATGAAATTTGTATTATCTTTGGTATGAAAAGTTAATATAAATACAACATATTTATTATTGATTTGTATTATATAAGACTAACTGTTATTTTTTTAATGAAACAGGGGAATATGTTGATTTTCAGATGGATGGGATTATATATGAATCTTCTAGTCTGTATAGTGGTCTAGTAAGTGCGATAGCATCGCAACTTAAGATGGATGTTAATATTAATAATATAGAGATAAAATATATAGTTAGTGATCGATGTCCACCTGTAAGTATCCATAATGATGTGGGTGTGCGGGTATTTTTAGATCAAAAGAAAGCTAATGTAAATTTCTTTACGAAATATCCATTGTGCATAACTCTGAGGAATATAGCAATGGATAATCAGGATTCTATAGTTGTTGTGGATAGGAGACATTCTGATGTTAGTAGATCACTAACTAATTTTTATTTATACTCAAATAACTCCATCCGCTTGGTAGGAATGAATTTGGGTGGAGTTGTTGACGAAAATAATGATGAAGAAAATGAAGTAATCAGTGACCTTTCTAATTTGTTTATAGCTGAAAATCAGATTTACAAGGATAAGGAAACACTTATGGAGGTGATGCAACATTATGGAGTTGTCGAAAAATTCAGATTTCTTGTATCTCGTTCTAGTTCTTCTTGGTAATAATTTCATTGATTGTTTATATGTGTATTTATTTTTGTATAAATTTGATATATAAATTTTTGATTAATCTTTTTATTGTTTTCTGAAACAGTTATTACCTGAAGTGTCCTTCTGAGAATTGTTCATGGTTGATGAATTCATCAAGTTTGAATCAATCGAGCCTATACAAAATCAAAAAATACTATGCGGATCACACTTGTTCTGTTCGAGATAGAGTGTATGCAAGGCGTCATGGAATCATTGACGTTGTAGCTGTTTTGATAATGGATAAATTTATTGATCCAGTAACTATATACACTCCGAAAGATATAGCTGAAGACATGTTGAAAGTACATGATGTTTCGCTTACATACATGCAAGCCTGGCAAGTTAAAGAAAAGGCAATAAAATTAGTGCGTAGAGATCCGACTGAGTCATATGCTAAACTATCAGATTTTTATTCGAAATAACTTCTATATTTTAATTTATGAACTAAATTGGTATGAATTTTAGCAAAGCAACAATTTGATAGCCATTTGGCATGCAGTTTGTTTTTAAACAGGTATCCATTATTCAATTGGTTTCCATTGTGTATCCAATTGATATTCATGTTGTGTCCAATTTGAATCTAATTGGTATCCAGTTTGCATCTAGTTAATATACTGTTGTGTTGTGATATTCAGATATCAAATTGTAAAAATAATTGTAACAATGAAAAATCTTTCAGGTTATCTGTATATATTGGAGCAGACCTATCATGGTTCTGTTTTGAGCTTGGAAAGAAAGGAATGTGAGAGCTTTTTATATGCATTTGTTGTATTAAAAGCATGTATTAGAGGTTGGGAGTATTGTAGCCCAGTTGTAGTGGTTGATGGTGCAGCCTTAAGAGGCACATATGGTGGTACAATGTTGACTCCACGCACTATGGATCTAGGAGGTATTATTTGAATCTTTTATATTTATATGAATAATTATGATATAAGGTGTGTTTTCAAACTGTATGATTTTTAAAAAAATAAAATGCACCAGGTCACATACTTCCACTTGCTTATGCCATAGTAGATTCTGAGAATGATGCATCGTGGACCTGGTTCTTTGAAAAGTTTAGGAAAGCATATGGAGAAAGGGAAAACATGTGTTTTATGTCATCTAGAAACGAGAGCATATGAAAAAGAACTGCAAGAGTATATCCGAGTATATCCTGAATTGGAACATTATGCTTGCATATGACACTTATGCTGTAATGTTTTGAAGAACTTCCATAGGAATACTGAAGATTTGAAGAAGCTTTCTTTTACGATGACAAAGGCTTATACAATACAACAATTTGAGGCGATTATGAAAAGAATAGACCAGATAGACCCAAGAATAAGAGGTTATTTATTCAATATCGGGTATAGCAAGTGGTCAAGGACTTATTCAAAATGTAAGCGAACATGGACCATGACTTCAAATATAGCAGAATCTTTAAATAATGTTAACATGATAGCAAGGAGGTTGCCAGTGATTTCACTTCTTGAATTTATGAGGATAACAATTCAAACATGGATTCATAAGCACAACGAGGAGGCTGCAAAAACTAGATCAGAGCTGACAAAAAGATATGATCTTAAGCTCCAGAAAAATATTGCTTTGTCTACCGGTATGAGGGTATAATTTTTCCTTTATTCATTTATATTCAAATGTATTCATGTATGCAATTGGTATGAATACTGAATGAATTTAGTATAAACTGCCAACTTACATGAACAGCACATTACACAAGTAGCTGGAATGAATTTGATATCCATTATGTATATAGTTGAAACCTTTTTTGTGGCTTGCTTTTTTGTAACATCATGTTAATATCTAAAAAAAAATTGTGTTGGGTAATACCATCAACACTTTATTTGCATGTTGTTGTATTCATTTGCATGTTGTTGTTGATGTACCAAAGCGGTACATAGTATATGCTTAAACACCAAGAAATGTAGTTGCAGAAGATTTCAAAATGATGAGATACCATACGGACATGGAATGACAGTTCTTAGGTACAGAAGACTGCATGAAATAGATTATTGCTCTCCTTTTTATAGCTTGAAGAATTTTCAATATGCATATGCGAGAGTACATGGGATATACCAAGTTATGTTTCAGAGCCTAAATTGATGTCGCCTGGTTCAAAGAGAACGGTAGGAAGACTGCAACTTGAACGCTGGAAGGGATTTGCTGATATGAAATTCAAAATGTCTAAAGTTACTTGCAGTAGATGTCAAGTGGGCCACAACAGGAAGACATGTTCAAATTATCCTGCACCATAAAAATGATAGTTTATTTGTTTTAACTATATAAAAATTTTATTTTATTTTTATCTTTTAGACTCATGTTTTGTTTTGATTGTTACAATGTATTCATTTGTTTTCTAATAATATCTATTGACTATGCATTCCACCTAAGAGTTTAATATATTGTTCATGTTTTATACAGGATTCATTCATTAATCATACCAATTGCATACTGCTAAAAATAAAATTCATTATATAAGGTAATTATGGTATGCATTTGGTATCCATTTGGTATGCAACCTAATAACGACTGATATTAGTTAATGTAATTAGCATGAGTATTAATTTGGTTTCCAACTGGTGTCCTACTCTAAATCAAAATAAAATCAGATGTAATTGATGTTGGTCCAAAATTTAATGATCTCTGTTTTAAATTGTAAGATTCGTTTCTTTCAGAATTTATACAGATTGTATACCAACTTCATACATCTTTAAAATACTTAATTTGTTAAGACAATATAATTTACAATTAGTATTAATTTGGTATTCATAAGGTGTCCAAGTTAAAATATGAAGTAAAAAAAATCAATCATGTATGAATTTGGATGTCAAAGGTGTACAGTTTGGATACCAATTATAAGACATTGTAAGATCATAAACTCTAAACGTTGAATCCAATTTGTATGCATTTTATATATAACTGTTATCCCAAAAATTATTATACTCAATGTGTAATTTATCTTTAGAATGGTACATCCATTTGAAATGCAGTATGTATATAACTAGTATCCTGAAATTACAATAGTCAATATGTAATTCATATGTAATTGGTATCTTTACATTGGCATAATCATTTCTACAAGGTATTTATACAGGTTGGATACGAACTTCATTCATTTTTATTTTTGTGTTAGAATATGAATTAAAAAAATCCAATCATGTATGAATTTAGATGCCAAAAGTGTACAATTTGGATACCAATTATAAGACACTGTAAGATCATGAACTCTAACTATTGAATCCAATTTGTATGCATTTTGTATATAACTGTTAACCCGAAAATTATTATACTCAATGTGTAATTTATCTTTAGAATGGTGTATCCATTTGGAATGCAGTTTGTATATAACTAGTATCCTGAAATTACAATAGTTAATCTGTAATTCATATGTAGTTGGTATCTTTTTGGAATAAAACAGAAAATATTATATATATCAAATACTTAAAGCTGTAACAAACACAAAAATATCATATAAAGTTAAAAAAAACTTGTAATTCTAAAAGGACTAAGGTGCAATCAACTATTCTCAAATTTGATTTTCGTGATCTTGGTGTATAATAATTGCTGGTATCCTGAGCATGTTCTTTTGCTATGCGGGGTCCACCAAATTTGCTAGCAACAGTATCAGTTACTTCACTCTCACTGATCGCGCCATCATCATTCTTTGTTTTTCCATAATGCCATATGATTGTGGCATACCTTTGACGATGGTACTTTGCATCGATATCAACAGAACGCAAATAAAAAATTCCATTGCTGATGTATTCAGCAAATAGACATGTGTACAAATCTCAATCACTGAAAAAAAATTGAAAGACAAATCATTTTATGAAATAAATTGAGTTATCTTTTCTGATGAAATCAATAAAGTATAGATATACATACTTGGAACTTTCTTCTTGTTCAGGCAGATGCATCATATGTTTGACTTCAAGTGGGTCGGATTGAGACTTGTCAACATAATTGGGGAGTTTATTGGCATACAGATCAAGCCTTTTACCATAAAATTTCGTGCTCGTTAAAAAAAGTGGTATCATTGTGGCAAGTTTACCAACAACTATATTGATATTCTTGCTGTGAAGAGCTCCTCCCATCATCGAATCGTATACTTGTAGACATCTAAGCTTGATTCAGAAGACAACCAAAAATCAATGAAATGATTTACTAACATTGACAGGAATAATGATATCGTCAACTCTGTCCCAAGGAATGTTGGCAAGCAGTTTGAAACCTCTAATGCACTGTCCAACATCGTGGTCAGGAGAAATGGAACTCATGTCGTAATTGGAATCTCTCCACTGTTTCTCAATGTTATCAACCCACGCCATAAATCAATAGTCAACCATATTGTGTGGTAGTGGTAGTGGAGAATACTTTGCCTTCTTCCGCAGATAATACATAATGATATCAACATGCTGTTACCAAATAAAAAGCCATTAAAAAAGGTTTCAAATATATATAGAATGGATATCAAATTCAATCCAGCTACTTGTTTAATGTATTATTAATGTCAGTTGGTTTGTTATACCAAATTCATTCATTAATCATACCAATTGCATACATGAATACTGTTGGATATCAAATTCATGCAAGTTTAATATATAATGTACTGTTCATATTAGTGAACATTTTATACCATCCTCATTCAAAAATCATTCAAAATGCATACATGATGGCTATTGTATAAGAAAATTATACATAAATCATTCAAAATGCATACATAATGGATATAAACACTGATTTTAAACAAAAAACTCCAAAAATAATTACAAAAAATTGGAATATGAGTTACAAATTAACTATTAAATTTTTTGATAGATATGACTTACCCCGTCTTTCCAAGGCCTGCCAGTTTTAACCATTATGTTGAAAAAATTTATTTCTGAAACTTTGACAACACCAAAGTTCATTTGAGGTTCAAATTTATCTTTGATCTTTGAATAAGCAGATTTTCTGTGTACATTAAAAATATATAGAAAAAAAGATTATAAACGCATTGTTTGAATAGTATACACATTTTTTTTATCTTTATTTATACATATACCTGCTAGGCTTAGGTGAAACACCTTTGAAAACCCATTTGTTAAACTCATCGATCAACTCAGCTGCAACCTCAAACCCATTGTGACTTTCAAACGGATGTTTGATACGACAAAAAATAGGACCTCTTCCAACACTGCTATCGCCTTTCGACAACCGAATGTACGGAGATGTGTCATACTTGTTGGGGTTCCTATTTCTTGGTTGCACATCTGGAGTAGTATTAGCATTGAGAATTAGATCAAGTTCAACAATCTGTGTCATGGTTAAATCAGGATAATCATCCAGTGTTGGTGGTTTTGAAGTTGATGATCCAAGTATGTCAGCATTAAAAACCCCACCAATTGTTTGGTCAATTGAATTCTGCGCTTCAGTTATATATTCAAAAAAGAAAATTTAATATTAAAAAAACTTTGTAATTGAATATACATATTACATTAGGATTGGTTCTCATACCATCGGTGTTTGAAATATCTACGTATTCCCTCATTGAAACTAATGGCTGATCCATTCGAGCTTTTTTCAGTTTATTCAACATGTTGATGGGCATCATCCTAATGTATGAAGTAAAATAAAATTCATTCAGAAAATCATGCATAAAAACTGTCTCTTACAACTTTTATACAAGATTAATACAAATTTTAAGCCAACAAAAATAACATGTCATATAAATATTGCCTTTCACAAATTTAATACTATATTAATACCTAATTTGAACCAACATAAAATAATGTACAATACCAGTTCATACATTATTCATACAAAGCTAATACAAATTTTATACTACCACTTTCAACCAACAACAAAAAACATGCATAATAACTACTTCATTCAATATTCATACCAACATAATACCAATATCAAACAAACATACAACTGGAAAAATAATGCATAAGATTTGCTCATATAAAATTCATACCAATATAGTACTAACTTCAATTCAAAATCATAATTTTCATAATTACTGGCACATACACAATTCATACCATGATAATATCAATTTCAGATAAAAAATAGAGATATAACAATTGATTAGTTCTTAACTTTCTCAAACCCTTTAATATCATTTAATACCTCTTGGTGTGATGTTTGTGTTGGTTGACCTCTTGAAGACTTAATCTCATCGATTATCAATTTTGTCAAATTATGGACATATGCTTTCAATTCGATCATGTGCTTGTCAACCTTGTCAACAGATATAAACATTTATGTTAAACATTAAAAGATTACATAATAATATGTAGTATTAAGTAATTGAAAAGGGATTGAGAAAATAACATTATCCTTCCGTTCTTTCAACTCCTTCCGAACCTGTAATTAAACATTAATGAGTGAATAAATTCTTTGTAATATGTAAAAAAATATTAAATGATAATTTTTTCTTGTATACCTCTGCAGTTTCCTTTTTCAACTCAACATAATTTTCATCGAAGTCAACATCGTTCCTTTCTGATGTTGCTTGATTTTCTGTCTCATGGTGACTAGAAGATTCACGTAAATTGTTCTGATCAATGACATTCATCTCTTCATCCGTAAGCACTATATTTTTAAATTTATGCTGTAATAACAAAATAAGATGGAAGAATTAAAAATTATAAAAAAAAGGTAATAAATGATAATTATTAAAGGACAATAACTAAAAAGTGACCTGATTGCCATATGTTCTGAAAATTGTATTGTTTAAGTCCTTGAAGAAAATACTCTCATTTGATGTATTCCAGTTGAGAATACGAGGTGTGCCAGTTGAAACACGGATAGCAACTGTGTTGTCAAATGGATGACAACACTCATAAAACCAAATCTGCAAGGCTAAGTGGAATTGGGTAGATTTGAATGATGTAAGATTATTTCCCAACCTACGACTGCAAACTTTAAGAGTTAGTCTGAAACATTCATTACCCCATGGGAAGTTGACATATTGACCGGACTCAACCAAATCAAAATACAATTTAGGTATGGTTTTTTTGGAGGCCTCAGAACCAGTCAGAAATGTACTAATGAAGTACTGAACACCAATTTTAAAACGGTCTTCGGGCTCAAAGAAGCTAGCCTCTTTAAACTTATTCAAGAAGTCTAACTTAGGGACTTTGGTCATTTCACCAAAATACTTTTGGATAAGTCTATTTGGAATAGACGGATCTGAAACAAAGTCGTTAAGAAGTCCACATTTGAGACCAGTTACTGCTGCGAATTCTTTAATCTCAAAACGTAGTAC